CCCCAAAACCCCAAAACCCCAAAACCCCATATTCTATATAGGTAATAGATTATGATGAAATTAAATATTAAAGTGAATAATTTCTAAAGTTCAAAAAAGCCTCTGTTAATTAAGCTTTGTATATCAATTAATTCTATTCTACTTAGATTTTCCACTATCAGATTTCTTCTATTGCTAGTCTTTTGAATTGTTGTTTAGTGAAAGCTCTAATTGTTCCTATGATTTTTCTTCTTCTTCTATACCATCTTCATTGGGAAATTAGTCCATTTTATGATTGATTATTGAAAGGCTCCTTACTATAGTCGTTCCCTAATCATCTCCACTAAAAGCGAAACCTTTGTGCTTGATTTAGCCTTTTCTTATCAGCATACCCTCTTGTGCTTTCTTATATTGATAGACCATATTTTAGATTTCTTATTTCTTTTCCTTATTCTGAGTAATGTAAAGATTAGTCCAGTGAAGCAGTTTCTCAGTAAACGATGTTGAAAGCAGGAAGAAGAAGCAAATAAAGTAAAATGCAGGGATTCTCATAGCATAGGGGAATACACCGTATAAAGACTTAAAGAAAGTAATTCTGCTCTCAATATAAACCATAATGTAAAATGATCCAATTGAACCCCAGACTACCAAAGTAGAGAATATAGTGTGACTGTTTGTAGAATATGCTACTTTCATGTTGGCAATGATGACAACCATCCCATAAATATGAGTTCCAGTGACCCAGAGAGAACTTGGCTATCCATAGTCATCATAGAGTGCTGATCCTCCTTCTAATGAATAAAATCCAATTAATTAAAGCATGAATGTCTGGCACATTCCATAAAATATCCATCTCCAGAATCTCCATCTTCCAAAACTTAGATCTAAAATTCTTAATTTTTAAAGGTCTTACTTTTCAAGCCAATTTTAAAATGTTTAGGATCTTCAAGCAACTCCTCTTTAGAAAACTCTTAATCAAATAAAGCAAACCACATTATAGGGAAAGCTGTGAAGAGAATGTTGTACATTTGATAAAGCCACTATTCGTATAAGGCTTGACCACCAAATCCAGATTAGAATCCATACCTAATAAGTTAGTCTTAATAAACTTACCAAAATTATGGGAGTACAAAAACGACATTTTTATAGAAGATATAGCAAACAAGATAAGAATTTCTTCTATATGCTTCTCTACCATGAGTAAATAGGAGATTCTTCAAGAATTTAAATTGTCCAATAGCATAATCAGCAGACCTTGCAGCCTACTATCCTTCTAATCCACTAATACCCACTCCAACGTGAGCAGCTGTAATCATATTAACATCATTAGCTCCATCACCAATTGATAAAGTAGTCGCCCTAGGATATTTTTGTTTAACATAATGAACTATTTCAGCCTTTTGCTTAGGCGATACTCTGCAGGCAATAACGACAGCGCAACTATCAGTTAATTCAAGGAATTAGTCTTTGATTGCCTCATGAGAAGCTATCTTTAGCAATGCGTCTCCAGTAACAATGGCAGCCGTATCTCCACTGAATTATGTAAGAGCAGCATCTTTTCTGGCTTCGGTAATCTATTCATAAACTTCCTTTGGTGTTGTAGCATTTATAATGAATTAGTTCATTTCATTATTAAGAAGCTTGCAAGAATAGCCAATATTTATTGCAGTCTCAACTTTATCTCCAGTCAAAACCCACACTTTAATGCCAGCATCTTTTAAGAATTAGATAGTTTCACCTACACCATCTTGCAATTTATCTTCAATAGCGGTTGACCCTATCAAGTGGAAATCTTTTTCTAGTTCAATAGCTACTTTATCAATCTTTTCCTCTCTTCCTGAAACTGCAAAGCTAGCCTCTTAAAACTTTTTATTCCATGCATCATAATCTGATTAGCTTAAAGTTTTCTCAACCAAAAGCAAGGTTCTTAATCCATCCTTTGCATATTCGTCTAAAAAGTTACCTGTAGTAGTTTCTAGCTCAATTTAATCTCTAGTTCTCTTTTGGCATAAGGGATACAAGATTGAATCTGCACCTTTACAAAGTACTTTAATTTAGCCTTTTGGATCTTGCACAACAACAGTCATTCTTTTTCTTGTAGAGTTAAATTCTATCAAATTTAAAAGCTTCCAGACTTATTTCTCGCCTTTAAAATTGATATACATCTTATTCTCTTCATCTCTGTCCTCAAATTTAACCCCGAAGAACCTGGCTGCATTAACTAAAGCAAGCTCATCTGGAGATGAAGCATTATAAGAAACTTTGCCGTTCTTTTTTTCAATGATAATTGTATGGCATAAAGCTAGATTAAGCAATACTTTTTCAATGTACTAGTAGTTTTCTGATCTTTTGTCTCTGAAGTGCTTGTAGAATACTGGATCATCAAAGTTAACGTTGGAGATTTCATCTTCACCATCGATGTTAAATCTCATTTACTATCTGTTATCAGCTACAATTTAAGATTAAATAATGAAAGTAATGTCGTATGAACTTACGTAAACTATTTCCATAGGAGTATTTGCCTGCAGAGAATTTCTTAAACTCCATAATGTTGCAAGTGAGGGTGCCTGTTTTATCAGAAAATACATAACTAATTTGACCCAATTCTTCATTCAAATTACTAGATTAAACCTTTGTTGGCATATCTTTGTCTAAGTCATAGATTCTCCAGTCCCAAGTTATAAAGAATGCTTAGAGGAATTTCACCACTTCAAGAGTTACCATAAGTGAAATAGGAACCATATTTGTAAAGAGAAGAATCCAAGTGAAATACCTTTAAATAGCATTTAAGATCCAGTATTTATCGAAAATACCTCCTGTACCTTTAACTCCTGAGAGATCTAAATAGTTTTATGTTTTTTCTGTGTTTATTGATCTCCAAAGTGCTCCATAAACAGTGGCAATAAGGCAGAGAACACATTATAGACCGAAAATAAAGAATATTTGCATGTTTGTTTGCTTTTCAACTCTTGAAAACTTCGATCTTGCTCCAGTAGAATTTTTCATTATTCTAGTACCATGGCCAGTAAAAGTTGCTATTCCATAAACATAATCTGTTTATCTCAAAGATGATCCTCTTAGTAAGAAATTTTCATAATTCAAAGAAATCTTTTTATCTCCAATATTCATGATACCATCGAACTGATAGATCTTGTCACTTGGGCCTTCTGATTGAACAGAAGCTTTGAAGATACCACAAGCATGCTCATCTTGACAATGAGAGATGACTTCTTTATTTGAAACTTTATGCTTAAGATTAGTTTCTCCGTCTAAGTTCTTGGTTTCAATATAGCAAATACCTTTAGGTCCACTAGAATTTAATAAGATGAGATCTGCTGGGAAAAATTCATTTTCCATAACTTTTACTACCATACCAACTTTAATGTCTTTCCAAATTTTATGAGTAAACTAGCCAGTCTTTAGATCTGCTACTAGTGCCTTTCTATTATTCTCTTAATCATCTGCTCTATGTCTTTTGATATCCTCGAAAAGATCCTTGATTGCAGATACCGAGACTACAAATAGTAATGGCAGCAAGATTGCAGGTTATCCTCCAGTAATTGAAATTGGTGGTATGATTTAGAGAACCATAATAAACAGGAAATAGACGTTCGCCATTTTTGAGAATTATTCAAACAAGTTCTTAGGAATAAATGTCAACCAAGTGTACTTAGTCGTTCTAATCTTGTTCCTCACAAAGCGCCTGTCATGGGTGTTTGCCTCATTCACATGGAAATTCCAAAGTTCTGCTTCCTCCTTTCCAGCAACTGATGCTCTTGCAGCTGAGACTGTCTCTTTTTTCTTTTGATCAGACTTTTGTCTGTTCGCAGTTGATGATCCTTTATTTATATCTTCATGATGCTTTTCCTCAACTAATTCGACAAACCTATATAAGACAAAATATTAAAAGTACTGTTTCTCTAATCTAAGAGAGGTTGCTTATCATACGCATTCTTATTTGAGTTCTTGCTCTTTCCACCTCCCTCGATGTCGAATGAGCTCATCCCTTTCTTATTACCTGTCTTACTCATTTAAATATTTTATTATTAATGTTTTTAAAGTTTTAATATCTATATGCAAGAATATTTAAATGCCTTCTCGCGGGGTTTTGGGGTTTTGGGGTTTTGGGG